ACTAGTGAAGAGAGAAGAATTGAAGTTTAGAAATACGACTGTGAAATGGAAAAGATTGCTGCTGCTCACGCGAGCAGATGCCAGTTCAAACACTCAGATCGTAGCGCGAGACAATATTCTGGTGAGAACATTTTCATGGCAAGCCCACCCGGTGACAAGGTTCTAAAAGAGTAAGTTTTGCTGATAATTTGGGAATTCATGAGATGCAGAAACTAACGACATTTGTTCTGTTTAGGCCGCTTACGCCTGGGCTGGAGAACTGAACCAGTATGGTGTTGGAAAGGAAAACATTTTCACAATAGATATAGCAAACCGACCCGGACAGGTTATCGGACATTACACACAGGTAAGCGAAAACTGGAATAGTTTAAATTTCGATCACACAACAAAAATAATATTGAATATCAGCTTGTAGGAGTTTTGTTTAAACGCCGTGCAGTCTTACAACGCACCACCACCACCCCCCTCCCACTCCTGAAACTGCGAAACATCATTCCTTCCAAACAAATGCCGAAATACAATGTCTGAGGGGTATATTGAGTGGCGCGATTTTCGGTTGTCACCAACGTACATCTGTAATGTTCTTTAAGTTACGTGCAGTGTTTATATTGTAATAACGTCTTCAAATACTTCACAAGCTTTCCACTCTGTAGTATCACAGACAAAATTAATTAAAGATATGAGCTGTAAGTTAGGAAATTTTGAAGAAAACGGTATGGGGAAAACTTTTTGTATCTTCACTATCATTCAGCTGATGTATATAGTTAGAAGTCCTTTCTTGCTCCTTTCTTGTTGCCATAAAAACTCAGAAATTTTTGACAGCCTTTTATTGTGTTATTAGCATGTATATGAAGTGACAGCCGCGGAATCGCCCCACTTGACGGTCTCTCCAGTATCTGCTCCCACAATTGCATTGCAATTTTCGTTTTGCTATATGAAAAGGTCGCAGATTCTTCTTGGATTTTCCACTGTAGTCCTTACTGAACAGTTTTCCTAAACTACGAAGTACAATCCCAAGAACTATAGAAGATGAGAAGAGTTCAATCCTACTGAAAAGCTTTTCCAGATGGTCTGGCAAACAAAAAGATCGCTTGGTTGCGCTGTTCAGAACTGCCCATCTATGTCCCTTGTCGTTTGTAACTATAAGGAAGCGTAAGTTTTGTGATACTTTACCAAATGGTGCGAAGTTCATTGCTCTACAAGAGATTTTTCAGCGGAAACATGATTGGCCAGCCCATCTATGATAAGGGTGTACCATGCTCCAAGTGTGCAGAAGGAGAATCATGTGATATATATGAAGGAAGCCTTTGCGTTTCTAAGTAAACCTCATCTCTGAAAATAAACAATGTGTCAGTGTTGTACAATTGATTACATGAACCCGAGATAATTGAGCTTAGAAACTTTCTCCGGTGGATGACGGCCTTAAGGGATCCTCTACTCTGAAAATCTTCAGCGCAAAAGTTTGACTATTCTTATTTCTTTGTGCTTTGAATACAGTTGATTACATGTATGAATTGTACTGCTACTGTCTTATATTGACTGATATCAAAGTTTGGCACGAATTAAATACTTTGAGGGTGCTATTTTACCAACAATGCCCTAAATCTTAGGATTGGATTGAAACTTGAATCAGTTTTATTTGGCTTGCTGATCACGAGCCTATTCGTTCCTCAAGTTTGGGTTTCTTGCAGGATTAAGGTAAGTGTGCGGTGGAAAATAAAAACCACGGATTCGCCTCAAAAGTACTCTACCGTTAATTGACATACTGACCACGAATACGATATCTCGCTGTGCCTAATATCTCATTGTAAAATTAGAAGTGTATAAACAGTTTCATGATTTTGACGGCACTACTCCGAAACCTCGGCACTAAATGTCAAAATTTTAAATTTTACTGTTTCGCTCAAGGTATTTGACATGCTGATCAAAAATACCATCCATTTCGCACAAGACGATCGTACATTATGATAGTGGACGCTAGGGGTTAATGAATCCGCCAGGCCTCGGCACGAGGTCTCCGATAGGACCTTACGAGAACGAATCCCCGCTTGAAAGTCCAGGAAA